GGTTCTGTTATAAATATTTCTTATCACAACTCATCTATTCCTATTGCTTAGTATTCCTGGACACCAATTCACTCAACAAGTCCCCAAATCAAAACATGGTTGAACAGGAAGGAAATTACATTCAAAATAACAAGGGCAAATGGAAGCATAAAGCACAATAAGAAAAAAGTTAGTATATTTATAGTTTTTACGTGAGAAGATTCTAGTTTTCTCCATGTATCTACTAGCGCTGATTGGATAAGAATTGGCCAACTAGCATGCACCAACGCAATCGTGCATGGAATATGCATTAATTCAATCTATATCCTGTGAACGGGTTACTACTCTGTTGCTAGTCATGACTCAGTGAAAACTGTATCTGACTATAAAAGTGACTAAACATGATTTGACTCTCGTGTGAAGCATCAGTTTTATTAAGATTTCATACATGTCATTCATTCTACTACGCCTAGCCCGAGATTCGGGTAGAAATATCTCGAACCACTCAACAAACAAGAGGTTTCAGAATACTGAGTTGCAAAATCCTTTGTCAATAATTCCAAGATTATTTGGAGTTCCTTTTCATCGTATACCTTCATTTAATTGAATTTAACAATTTTACAATCAACTTGAATCATATATTTTTATTTTGTTGAATTAACCTCAGCCTATATAATTACGAATAGCAATCAAAACCCGTATTTTTTTTAATTAAAGAGATCATAAAATCACTGTGTTTCCTTAAATAAAAATAATCAGTCAAGTGAACCTCGTTTGTCTGTCTATTTATTCATTGAATAACAATTTCATTATTTTTTTGTTTATTTGAATAAAGATCACATTAGAAATTAACATAAAACCCAGGTTTCTAATTTTGAAAAGATAATTATTAATACAAATAAAATAAACAACTGAACAAAAACTCAGTTTGATTAATATTTTTGTCACATTGACAAAATAACTGAAGAGTATCACAATTTCCACTGTCTTTTTCTGTTGTTTTTTTAGGGGGGGGGGAATGAACAAGTCATTTCGAATTGAAACTTATTTATAGTTTCACTTTCATTCAAAAATATTTCCTCTTTTTTTTATATATTCTGATTTATTAATTAGTTTTATTTATATTTTGAAGCATTTTCTATCTTCTTTTTTCCAGTACATTATCATTATTGAAAAGTTTTATTCAGTAGAAAGTAGAGAAAAGTAATAATCAAAACAACTGAGTATTTACTCAACATATAGAGTACATTAAATAGAAAATCAAAGTACAAAAACATTTAATACTATTTCTTCTTAATAAAAAATTCATAATACCTTTTTCAATAGTGAATACGCATAGTTTAACTAAGTTCAAGTTTGTAGAAGGAGTTTGCATTAAACATCGTTAGAAGAGCTACCTTAAAACTTAAAAATTTAATAATCAAACTTTTTAGTTGAATATTATCCAAACACATCTTTTTTCTGTGATTATTCTGATGAAGGTACAGGAAATTTATTATTTAAGTGATAATCTATTTATGCACTGAATTTGTGATTTTGATCTACGTTTATATTTCTCACTTATGATTTGAAATGTAACCAATGGTAACTAAATAAAGTTTGGAAATGTCAATTATTGTATTGGAAATAATCGATTATAAAAGTTTTATTCTCATTTCTTCATTGATCTTACAGCACGATCAGTCGAAATTATTTCTTACGAATTCAGTTAAGTTATTGCTTACGAATTATTTTTTCTCCAAGTTCAGTGAATAAAAAAACTGGAAAAATTCATATCAAATTCTGACAGTAAGTAAACTAATACATTATTTTCTATTTTGGCAGAGCTGAAATTTGTTTAACTCTGAAATGTTATCAATTACAAATAGTTTGGTAAATGTTAATTTAAACAACGACTAACAAGAACATATTTCACATAGACATAAGATTTACTAAAAGTAAACAGTCAATTTCATTTGCGTTAATCCCCTTAACATGAGTATAAGTTATGAATTTTATTTTGAATCTCATTTTGTAAACATTACTAGTTCATTACTTAATAAATCGAATGAGAAGTTCAATTTGTACACAATCGATTTGCTAATGTCACACCCCTACTGAATAAAATATTTTCCTCTATTCCATTACGGAGTAATAATTTTCTCTTAACAGTACAACTTGTCTTTCAAGAAAGTAGTTGAATCTCTTTATAAAGTCTTAGCCAAATTTGAAACGAAACAATTTTAATAGATAAGAACTTTCGTCAAAATTTAAACGAATAGTTTCACAATATTTGGGCACCGAGTTCATTTGAGACATTAAAAAGAAGAATATATTTGTAAAATCTCAGCGAATGAATTTTAAGTAAATCCAACGTTTCGCCTGGCAATCTGGTCCAAGCTTTTTCAAGGAAAATATAATCAAACAACAAAATTATCGAATATAAATAGGTACATGGTTCTTCGGTTTACTGTATACTGAATAAGTCATCCAATCAACTTGAAGGATTTTTTAAAATGGGTAGTTGTATTAATGTGTAAGAGACATGTTTATATGAAAATTAATAAAGGTCAAACAAATAAAAGTTCATTTGAAAATAATCAAGAGGAGAGAAAGAATAAGAAAAATTGTCGTGTTATCCTAGGCCATAGAATGACTTAAGGATTACAAGGTAAATTCAAGGTTATGACAAATTGTTTTGTTCACATAAGGACAAAGTATGTGTTAAGATAACAGAATGTGTTTATACGCAAGTGATGTGAGAAGAATTTCATTCAACTAAATATTGACTACGGTCTGTGTATATTAAGAAAAACAGATCATTTTTATATATGAAATGAATCAAAAATGCCAAAGACTGCATTAAATATAGATAAATAAGATAAGTAAACAAATAAAAGAGGAATGTATATGTAATTGAAGGTGTGTGTTATTTTAATGTTCCAATCAATTGTTTAACATATTCAGATAAGATAACGGATTTGAATCATTGAGCGTATTATCTATCAATTAGTTACTATGTCATAAATATATCAAATGGCAAAAAGGAGATCAGGTTTACTTATTAATTATTAGTTGCCATGGGACAGCTAGTTGTATTCCATCTCTCCTATTAATATTGTTTGAATTAGCCATATATGTAGGGCTTCGGCTGTTAGTCGTTCTTTGTAAGAATTAAATCCTTTTTGAATGATTCTCGTGCCATTGAAATCAACTGTATGACCCGATTCAATCGAGTGTAGTGCTATCGCTGATCTGTTCTCAAGCTTTTTTACATCATTTGGGGATTTAGGAATATGCTTTAAGCACAGTTTGTGTTCTTTCAACCTCACATTCAGTTGTCTTGATGTTTCACCTACATACGTTGCATTACAATCATTACATTTGATTTCATAAACAAAATTTTGTTGATCATCCTTGTGTATTGGATCTTTGATTCTTACTAGTTTTGATCTTAGAGTATTGTTTGTTCGAAAGAATACTCTTATATTTTGACGAATTAAAATCCTTCTGATGTCTTCTGAGATACCTTTACGATATGGGATCACTACTGTGTTCATCCAATCTTGCTTAACTCTGTTTTTAAAAATATCATTCCGTTCTTCATTTTTAATTATTCTTTTAATAAAACCTTTCGGATAATTATTCATTAATAGAGTGGATACAACTAGATTCATTTCCATTTTTATATCATTCGGTTCAGTGACAAGTTTTTTGACTCTGGTGATCAAATTTTTGGCCACTGTCACTTTGGTCGCGTGTGGGTGCGCCGACTTAAAATCTAAAAATTTTCCCGAATATGTAGGCTTTCGGAATATATTAATTTTTAAACAATCATTATCCTTCCTTTCAACCAGGCAGTCTAGACAAGGTAATCTGCGTTCAGGCGATTCCAACTCTTTAGTAAACTTGATTTTGTCATCTAAGCTGTTGAACCGTTGGAGTAGTTCGTCTAAACCATCTCGTTTTATAATGACAAAGGTATCATCTACGTATCTTATCCAAATTTTTGGTGGAATGGAACACATTGAGATAGCAATTGTTTCCAATGAATGCATGAATAAATTAGCCACAATTGGCGAGACAGGTGATCCCATAGCCACACCTTCTGTTTGTCTGTACAGAACTCCTCGAAAAATGAAAACCGTTGAATGTAAGCAAAGCTCCAACGCTCTAATAATGTCTGATGGGCCTAGAAGGCAACGCTGTTTAAGTTCAATGTCAGAATCTAACAGGTTATACACAATATCTAAAGCTTTTTTAACAGTAACATTAGTGAACAATGAGCAAACATCAAAACTTGCCATTATTTCATCCTCTTCAATCCGAATATTACTGACAATGTGTTTGAAATCATTAGAATATTTTATTCCATATTTTATTACACTTTCATATGGTTTACGAATTTTGGCCAAATATCTAGAAAGATTATAAGTTGGTGAATTATTGTAATCAACCACAGGTCTTAATAGTACATCTGTTTTGTGTATTTTTCGTAGGCCATAAAATCTGCACGGGTTATTGCTTTTTGGATATAAAGAGAACCATAAAGATGATCCTAGTTTGGGCTTTAAATTCTGTAGCAATTTGGCCGTTTCAGCTTTCAACTTATTTAAAGTGGCTCTAAAATTTCTGTTCATGATTTTTTCATACGGTCCATTATGGAGATGTTCAAAGACTTGTTTAACCTTTATTAATTTTCATATAAACATGTCTCTTACACATTAATACAACTACCCATTTTAAAAAATCCTTCAAGTTGATTGGATGACTTATTCAGTATACAGTAAACCGAAGAACCATGTACCTATTTATATTCGATAATTTTGTTGTTTGATTATATTTTCCTTGAAAAAGCTTGGACCAGATTGCCAGGCGAAACGTTGGATTTACTTAAAATTCATTCGCTGAGATTTTACAAATATATTCTTCTTTTTAATGAAACAATTTTAAGTTTGCATTATTGTCAGATCCAATACTTAGATAAAAACGGTCGGTTTCAAATTATGAGTTCAAAAATTATTATTTAGAAAACACATTTTAAATGGGGAATTTATTTAAGCATTTCTCATCATAATAGAATAATAAAGTACATGTTATTTAACATATAATGAAAGCATAATAGTGCTTATTATAGTCAACTTAAAATGTATGACAAAACCATGGTAAGAACAATAAGTAAAATTGACATTATTAAAAAAACAGTATAGTTTAGAAAGGAAGTATAGTTATTGTCTTTTACTTCCTGGCTTCGGTAAACCCAGACCTTAAAAGAGCACCGAATTCTTCACAATCTAATGTTTGATCTTCGTCCATCTTTACTGTATCCAGTAGAAGTCTAACTTCCTCTTTAGTAATTTTATTAAATATTTTAGACATTCGTAGTGCTATTTCATCAGGATCCAGATATCCATCACCATTTCGATCAACAATTCTGAAGAAAATACAATAATTTGTTTATTATACGGTGGAACAAATACAAGTGTAAGATTGAAATATTAGCTACTGATTTGCATGATCAAAAATATCCTAACTGAAAAACCCCAATATATTTATGTTCAGTAGATGCAAGTAATATTGCAGTTACATGCTGAACATTCAGCATATTTCATTAGGACTTTTAACCACTCACAAACCAAGTGAATGACGTGTAAATCAATTTTATTATTCAAATAAAGTTTAAAATACTATAATTTTTGTTGTCCACCTAAACCAGTTATGTTAAAAGGTAGTTGTCTGTTAAAGATGTGAACAGTAGTTTAACTTTAACATATCTCTAACATTTTCTTTCGATGTTTATCATCCTTTTAAAGAACTGGGTATAATTAAGATATTCACATTTCTTTTTTTGCATTTGCTTGAACCTTTGTATTTAGTATGCAAGTCATAATCTTAATTAACAAATGGGCCATTTAATCAATTTAACTGTGATATATTTTGAGCATTTAAACAAAATCACTTTTTTACAGATATATTTTAATATATTTCATCTTACTTATAATCAATGCTTTCAGTAATCAAATGTTTGAATTAAATCAAACACTCGCATTCATTTTCAGATTCATGATTATAAGAAAGATGGAATATATTAAAATATAATCAGAGAAGGGTTTTGTGGAGATTGTAGTAATTTAAGAATTGAATTCATGAGACAAGTGAAGCTATACCACCATGGAAAACCTGAAAGTACTGGACGGCAGTCTTATCAAGGTATGGAACTCCTCAGCAGTGCGCATCGATGATCCCGCCTCGAGAGATTCGAACACAGAACCTATCAGCCTTGCGTGCGAACGCTTAACCTTTAAACCACTGAGCTGGCCGGCACCCAACAGTGTTAACGTCTAACTTCAACCAACTCATGGGTTCAAATCTCGAAGGGGCGGAATCGTGTATGCTCACTGCTGAGGAGTCCCGTACTTGGATAAGACTGTCGTCCAGTGCTTTCAGGTTTTCCATAACGGTCTAGCGACAACTGACTCATGAATTCAATTATTATATTAAAATATATCTTTATTTTATTTTATTTTATTTCAACACATACATAATGGTACAAAGAGGCACCAAATACATATGCGCCACACAAATCTCATTCTATATGTGTGAGGCCTGTGGTACTGCCCGGGTGCCCAAACCGAAGCAGGTGGTTTTCTTAGGGGGCCACACCCCGAGCCTTCGACCTGAAGGTCTGATCCACAAGGCAGTGGAGCATCGTAAGATGATGCAGTCCCATGGAAGCCGGTGACCAACAATTGGTTCATACGCCATTTGTTCCCGCAAGATACTGGAGCCCATGTGCACCATTGGTTTTGAATCCGGTTAAAGCGCCGGACATTTGCTTTTCGTCCTCTCATTTTCGTAAACAACACCCCCGCCGCGAGAAGGCAGTGAGTAGGACTTCCCTGGCAGAGGCTATATACGCGTGGCCGTGTGAGAGCATTTCGAGAGGGAGAGCGAACTCTCCCCACTCTCGGCCGTACCAGGGCATTTGGGGGCTAAAATATATCTACAACAAAGTGATTGATAATTTATCTTCAACTGAGTATGTATAAGATTAACTCTTTGATTTTGTTTACATACTCAAAATTCATCACATTTAAATTAATTCGATGGCCTATTTGTTAATTAAGATTATGACTTGCATACTAAATACTTTAATGGAAATAAGTAAATTCGGTAGTTTCAAAGAGAAAGTTAGTTTAGTAAAATGGGGATGTCTACAAGACTAAAGTAATTATCAATAAAAACCAAATTTTTTGATTCCAACAGCATAAAAAAAGAGTAGAAGTTGACGAATTACTTTAGGTTTTAGAATAAATAACCAAATTCTAATTAGTTCATTACAAGTTAACGAGTACATAGATGCCAGAAAAGGTTAAAATTATAGCAAGTTTTATGTAAACTCTGTAAATCACAACAATTATAAATGCAAGTAACATTAGGAAAGAAGCTAACTTTTATGCAACGAGGTTTGTTTTGCGTTGAAAGAATGTCTTTGACATTCATCGGTTAAAATGTTTCTGGAAAGTAATGAACTGTAGTTTACTCACAACAGTTAATCCGGATTCGTCTTGTTAATGTTGTTGGTGACCCGAATCTCTTAAATTTAAATGCAAAACAAACGAACTCATCCTAGAACCCAACTTGAAGAAAACTTTAACGTCTCCAAGTATCATTCTAATCATAGTGAGTTCGCTATGAGTCTGCTGATCTAAAAGCAAGGTTTGAACATGATTTCAAACGTATCAGTGCTGTAATTACATGCTAGTGTCAGCAGCGGAGGCTGGTGTTAGAATTCACTAAATATACAAAATACAAAGACAGTCAAAATTTGACTGTTTACAGAAATAGTCTTATGAACGTAACTCTTGTTTCAGCTACTTAGTTTAATTTGTTATTAAAGAAATGAACTCAAACTCCATAGATTTAGAAACGATAGTCTTAGTCTAAGTTACCTTGTTAAATAACTATGTGCATAAATCAAAAGAAACGAACAATGTCATAACAGAGTGAAGAACCTGATTCAGAAATCCCTTTGTATTCACAGAGCTCGGAGGTAAGTAGTCACCAGACCTTTATGAGAGCAAGAGAGCGTCAGACAGGACTAACTGTTCACTGCATCAGTGGTCATAAAGACTTAAACAAAAGTGGCCGAGATTAGTAATATAAATAACACAAAAAGTGGACGTGGCTGTATAGATCAGACATTCAAACTACGTCAGGTCCTAGAACATAGACACACATTTAGACGTCACATAATAGTAGTATCTCTCCACCTTAAGGTGGCATTTGACTCTGTTAATCGTGAGGTTCTATGGCAGTGTTTGTCACTGAAAGGGGTACAAAAGAAGTACATTAACCTTAAACAGGATCTCTACTCGAACACAACTGGCCGAGTGAGAGCTTATGGCGAACTGTCATCATAATTGATTACCTCAAGTGGTGTTCATCAGGGCTGTCCACTCTCTCCATTCTTGTTTAACTTTGTCGTTGACGTGTTTTTAGGTATAACACTTACCTCATCCAAATTTCCAGGCGTTGAACGTTTGCCGGCAGATTTACTTGTTGACTTAGAATATACCGATGACATAGTTCTATTTCGTGAATTCGCTGATAAAATGCAGAATCTTCTGGCCACCGTAATCAACATGATCGGGATGCGATTCTCCCTCTCGAAATGAAAGATGTTGCTTCAGGATTGGGTTGCATTGGTACGTGAACTGATGATAGGGAGTGAAATAGTTGAGCGTGTCGACCGCTTCACTTATCTTGGAAGTCTCATCAGCCCTTGTGGTCTGGTGTGTGACGAAATCTCAGCACGGATACAGAAGGCTCGACTAGCTTTTACCAACTTGCGTCATTTATGGCGTAGGCGAGATATCCATCTATCAACCAAAGGACGACTTTACTGTATAGCAGTTCGTTCCGTCCTACTTCATGGCAGTGAAACATGGCCGGTAAGAGTAGAGGATATTCGTAGGTTACTAGTATTTGATGATAGGTGTCTTCGAAATATTGCTCGTATATCATGGGACCATCGAGTAAGTAATGCAGTTGTTAGAAAACGGGTACTAGGTAAGGGTGGCAAATCAATTGATGAAGTAGTGAAACTTCATCAGTTGAGATGGCTGGGACATGTGTTACGTATGCCCAACCATCGACTGCCTCGACGTGCGATGTTTTGTTGTATAGGAGTAGATTGGAAGAAAGCTAGGGGCGGTCAGACCAAATCATAGCGCAAGTCTATGAAGTCACTGACAAGTAGACTGAGTCATATTGGTAGGTGTAGACTACCTGGTTGGGGTCCACGAGATGATGGCGACCGATGGTTAGAGACTTTGAATGACGTGGCTCAAAATCGTTTGCGATGGCGCAAGTGCATCTACTCTTTGTGTTCTTCCAAATCCTAATCTTCTGAATGCTTCATGTCCCTCTTTTTCTCTTTCCAAATTTACTTCACTGGATTATACTCCTTGAATAACATCTTCAAAACCTAATCTTTTCGATTATTGCTTATACTTTTACTACCTCTACCACAATGGGATCTGAATCGACAATTGTATTTCTGTGCTAATGTGGCATGGTAACTCGAACTGATGTACGAACGTACAAAGTTCTACATTGTGACTGACTGACTGATATGAAGTCACTTACAAAAGTTCCAGGACACTTGACTGTTTATATTAAATAACCCCATAAAATACAGACATCACTGGATTATTTGTAAAGTTTGATGTTTATAGCGACCAAAGCAAATCATTCTAAAACGTCACCATCAGTCTCGCTGCAGTTAACGCTATGGAACACTACAAGTCTATCAGGAATAAGTACTTGCAGTAGGCAGTAACTCGCGAAGCAATTATGAGACCGACTTGCAAAAATTTTAATTAGACATCCTTAGTAACTATTATCGTATATCAACTATAGGAAAGAATAGCAAATGATAACTCCGAGCCTAATTGCAGAAAGCACATCTCGAATGAGAAAAGAGGACCAAGGTAAAGCGGAAATCACAGCTAATTGCTTCAAAAAACCTTCAATCTTGTTAATCCTCTCGACAAGTGTTTACAAACATATAACACTTAAATCTATTAAGTTGGTTTTACTTGTTGTCTTGTATCTGATGAAGTGATTAATTCTAAATTTTTATCTGCATACCTTTTCAATGTATCTTTGTTTGTCTGTTTAGTAATCTTACTTAATCATTCTCCCGGTTTATTAATTTTTGTAATCCTCGGATTAAATGATACTTTGAGCATATTTCAGTATATTAACATCCTTCACAAGGCACAACACGGGCATAGAAGGGGCTAGTCTTGAGCATCAAATCTTCTCATAGCATGCGGAAGATGAACAACCTGCTGAGATTAAAAGTTACTGATCCATGTAGTATTAGTTGATTTTGCAAAAGCATTTAACGCAGCACTGCAAGCACTCCTCAAGCAGACGTTGCAGGAATGGGTTTTACCGACTCACTTTTATCCTGGCTACTAAATTATCCGTAAAACTGGACAATCCACACCAAGTTACATCAAATGCTCGCAAGCTGTAAAGTCTTAAAACTGTGAGTCCCATAATGAATCAATTCTAGTCCACTACTCTACCTGATCTTTATTGGTAGCCCTACAGACGAAATTGTCTCACTGACTCATATACGCTGATGATGCCAAGACATGGAGGTTTATAAGGAGCTAAAAGGATTCACTCGGGCTTTTAAAGGACCTCATAACGATAAGGGAATATACAATATTTAAGGGATGGGATGTAATCTGCCAAAATGTCATATCATGAACACTCTGCTCCATAGAAAACAAGCAGATTACGTCCTATATGAAAATCCGCTGCCAGTCGTCACTTCAGAGCTCGATGCAGGACTATTGGACACAGAAATCTTAGATGCTGGTTCAGGGACATATTCAAAATCAGTGCAATTTTTCACTTTGTGCAAAGACAAAAATGCGAATCTCTTAGATCAAGTACAGAGACGAGCAAGTAAGTGGATGTTGAGTCAAAGAAGCAAATCTTACGAAGATAGACCCCCATAGCAGAAATTACTTCCTATGAACTAAAAGAAACAAAAGATAATCTGACAGTGGAATACAACGTAATAAGTGCATCAACTCACTATATTACAACATCCTGACAGGATATCAGTATAATGTACCGAAAGGTTACTCATGGAAAGTTGAACACTGAAGAGAGAAATATCAGGTTCACTCTTACTTCTTCCCATTCGAGGTCGCCTCCCATTTAGATTGCCCTCCTAGCCACAGTGACCACAACCCATTGAATGAATAGCTTTAAGGACCAATTTACCCAACGATCACCATTTTTTGACCAATTGTACTCGATGCACGTCTCGTATCTTTTTCGCCATTATCGTTAACATATGTCAATAAATTATTACTGCCGTACTTATCATCATCTCCGTTTCATCTTTTATTGTTAGATTTAGGTATTCTCTTATTATCTGCATTCCTAATTAATCAACCTTTTATTTATTTAGTTCTCCGAGCGATCATCTCATCTTAGTTAACTTGTGTACTCCGGTTACAAGACTCACAAACTCACAAATAACCAACAAATTGGGCAAGATTAGTCAGTCAAATATCTAAACTACCACCCATTAGACATTACCAAAGACCGGAAGTAGTGAGGAAACAAGAAGAAGGGATCCCAAGGAAATTAATCGGGTAATGGAAATTCGTCAAAAGATAATGAATATAGTCAAGATTTTGGAATGTTGTACGGTTGTCATACATTAGTTTAAAATGATATGCACACAAACAAATAAAAAGTTTACGCATAAATGCAAACCGAAATAGTGTCTTCACCGGTTGGTTTTCATCAAGACTCTCCAGTGCACGACCTAGGAGTTCAATAAATTTTGGAAGCCTTATATAATCCTCACAATCCGATAAATCCCTAACAATTGTCTGTTAAGGAAACCATTACAGTATTTCTTATTTCACTTTACTGAAATACTGTTTTCATTACAACCGATACCGAGAGTTGTTAGTAAGTAAGATATATCGTCAACACCCAAAGTTCCATCTCCATCTTTGTCAATGTACTTGAAAGCTTGAGACAGATCATTGTACAAAATATCAGGCAGTGTATCTCTTTCTGACATTCAATTTAGGGACAACTCTAGTACTATAGTAATCAAGGTCGTTATTAACACACATATTGATCATTGCAACGCTAATATCTTAGTGATTAAATCCAATATTCAGTATGCAATATGCCTCAATGAATCAACGTGTCCGTCAATTTCACTGAAAAAAATTTTGTTCAACTATTTCTTTACTTCTGTGTATGGGCTCTAGAAAGATTCTCAGTTGTTTACTTTAAAGATATCTCATTCATTCGGGGTTTGGAAAAACGGGCTAAGGGGCTTTGAAGATATGTATGTCGAGAAGCGTTTACTCTAAGCTGGCTACTAGTTGCAAGGGATATGTAGCATGGTGCAACCGTCAGATAGTGTGTGTCCAATAAAACTAATGTGGTCAGCATCGATGTCCAAGACTTACAGAACTATTTATTTCCGGGAATTATTTACTGCTGCAACCTAGTATCTTTATGACGATCTAATGTAAACTAGACAGCATATCTGCTCTTAATTCATAGTATTGTTGCACACCGTTAGGTTACTATTATTGTTAGTATTATTATTATTATTATTATTATTATTATTATTATTATTATTATTATTATTATTAGTTTCAATTTGGAAAGGACAGGAGGCTTGATGGCCTGTGTTAATCCTGGCAATGATGGTCTCTCAGTTGATCCAACTTTCTTTTGAAAGAGTCGACGGATGGAGCCTAAATCACTTGCTGAGGTAATAAATTTCACTCGATGATTCGATGGTCAGTTGACAAGTAATTTGTTCTCAGCCTGTGAACTTTTTTGGAGTGTCCTCGTAAATTCTCTGTTTTGGAAGATAAGAAAAATGAGGGCATATCAGGTGCAAACTTATCACTAAGCAATTTGAAAACTGTAATCAAGTCACCTCTAGTTCTGCGATATGACAACAGGAGAAGGTTCAGCTTGGCGAGTCGAGCATCATACGGAAGCTTCGCTATTCCGGGAATCAGCTTAGTTGCCGTTCTCTGAACCTCTTCCAGAAGCTCACTGTCTTTTTTAAGCAGGGGCTAGCCTCTTGTATGCAGCACTCAAGTTTGGGACGTACAACTACTGTATACAAAGTCAAAAACGTTTTAGCGTCGACATGACTAAAAGCCCTACTTATTGACCATAAGTTTCTAAAACCTTTGGCGGCTATTGCACAGCAGTGTGCAGTAGTCTTCAAGTCTTGGCTAGCGATGACTCCTAAATCCCTGTGTGTCTAGACGACAGGTAGCTCAGTGTTATTCATCGTGTATGAATCTGTGCCTTGATGACCGATATGGATCACAACACACTTGGAAGTATTTATCGGCAACTGCCAGGTTTGAGACCATTCAGATAATTTCTTCAAGTCATTTTTGAGTTCTAAGCTATCACCCTTACATCGTATCGTTCTCCATATCTTGACATCGTCAGCATATAGCGAGACCGATGATGATGGGAGACGAGGAAGGTCATTTACATACAAGAGGAATAGCACTGGCCTCAAAACTGTACCCTGGGGCACTCCACTAAGCACAGTTTCCCAGCTATATAACTTCGAGTTGACCCGTACTCTTTGTTAGCGTCCAACTAGGACGTCTTTTGTCCACATCAAAAAATTTCCTCCAATCCCGACATTTCTTAACTTATATAAGAGCCGGTTGTGCGGAACCTTGTCAAAAGCTTTACTGAAATCAATGAAGGCTACGTCTACAGGTAGCTTTTGGTCCTTAAGAGCGCACCAGCTTTCACGAGCCACTAATAAGTTAGTGAGACAAGAGTAACTTATTCTGAAACCATGCTGCTTCTCCGGAAGGATCCGGTTTTCATCGAGGTACTTAAACAGCTCCTTCCGAATAATCTTGTCCAAGATTTTAACAACCACACTAGTTAACCTAACTGTTCGGTAATTCTCAGGCTTATGTTTTGTACCTGTTTTGAAGACAGGACTTACTATGGCGTTCTTCTAGTCTTTTAGTAAACGACCCTGCGTAACGGATAGATTGAAGCATATAACTGAAGGTTTCGCAACGAAGTTAGATAATTCCCTCAATAGCCTACGATGCAATTCATCGAGCCCCGTGGATTTACCTATGTCAAGCTTATTTAGCAGACCAAAAACATCGAGTTATTTAATGGTCACTCTATCAAGTGTATGTGTGGGGAGATTTGTATGCGCTGACAGGAAGGGTGTTTCTGTGGTGTATACATTGCTAAAGTAGTTCGAGAACACTTGAGCCTTACCAAAGTCGTCCTCCACCAAAGATGCGGCCGTTGTGTCTTCCCATAGTGCAGGAATGTTTCCTCTTCTTTTTGTCCTATGGTTCATGTAAGAATACAAGCGTTTGGGACATTCTATGGATTCCTTAACAGTTTTCTCTTCGTACATCCTTCTAGACCTATTCAGGGTCGAGTTACAGGTATTCCGAGCTTTTCGATACTGAGATTTTGTCTCATCAGTCCCCAGTAACCTAAATCTATCCCAAATTTTTCTTCGCTTACGGAGGAAGATGTGGACCTCTCTAGTGAAACACGATGGAGAGTTTCTCGGCTCCCTTGGTGTAGTCCAAGGAATGTGAGATGCGGTTACTTTTAAGTACACATTTCGAAAAGCGTCCCGAGCCGTTTCAATTGAGTACTCTGGGTCTATAGTCCAATCTGCTAACGATGCTGAGTGCATGATAACTGGTATGTTTGCTTTCCAGACGTTAGGTCTGGATCGAGCTAATGCGTGCTCGTGAGTGAACGTTATATGGAAGTCGAAAGTTAAAACTGCGTGATCACTTTTACCTAGGGGTGGCTTGCAATGGAGGTTTGCGACGTCATCTTCATAGTGAGTCAATATAAGATCTAGTAAGGATGATTCAGTGTACCGGTCCTACCTAGTCGCTTCTTTCACATGTTGCACTAGAGCACATGCGATAACCGCATCAGCTATTGAGACTGATTAGCGGGACCTCATTTAGCTCACAGCCTGGACTGCGACAGACCAAACTAATCAGCAGCTCTTTTCCCTTGCATTTCAACCGGCAACTGACTAATTCACACGTCCCACTCTCATGGGATACACTGTCGATCATGGTGAGTGGGATAGCATTCCTAATGAATAGAGCTACTCCCCCTCCTTTACGTTTCTGTATTCTGTCGGCCCTTACTAACGTAAAACCATCGAAATCAAGTTCTATACTATCTATAGACTGTGTCAGCCAGGTTTTTGAGACTGCAATTATGTCTGGCTTTATAGAGTCAATCTGTACACCTAGTTCCGATCGTTTATTGAGTAAGCTTCGGGCATTAGTGTAGCAGATCCGAAGTCCATTTAAGTGGCTTCGTGCTTCACCTATAGTGGCTATGTCATTATTCTCTGTCAAAGCCTTACAACCCGAAAGTTTACCATTTTTACGTCCTTTTCGCCAGCGTCTTACCTAAGTTGTAGTTCTTTTCCGGCTTCCCGTCCTTTTACGCGATCTGCCAACGGCAAGTCCTTACGGATAAAATCTCCTGAACCCTTTAATTTATGTCCATTCTGTAAAATGAAGTCGCGTTCATTCAAAGATTTGAATACTACTTTAAATATTCCTGACTGATTAGGCTTCAAGTCCGCCAGGCTACCTAGTCTGTGCACCTTTAGAATGGTGACTGCGGGTATATTTTGAGGTATGAGTTGATTAAGTAGCTGTTTGATCAGAACAATGTTATGCTCAAAACGCGTTTTCGGTTCACAGCTTTCACTCTTCTTGATTCTATGAAAAATAACTGATCTGTCACAGTGATCAGTCTTTGATTTCTCGACTACTTTTACGGGGGCAGGACTCCCTTTTATATCGTTATGTTGTTTCTGCCTTACAACCCTCAATCATTCGTCCACGTTGCTATGAGAGGCAACCACAGTTGCGTCAAACATACTGCGGGATTCCGGAGGGTTGTCGACGACTTAGGAGGTCAGGTTATGTTTCCCGCTAGAAACCGATCGAGCCTTGCGATTTTTGACTTCTAGACGTTTCCTGCTGGATACCGTTTAGAAGACGGGGGACAGAAGAAGCTACTTTTCTTGATATTTCCATTGAGACAGACCTCTTTGAAGACTGTTTTTCCTCCTTTGGTCGGGGGGAATCACCTGTTTTCAAACTCACCTGAGTTTGCTTCACCTCGAATTGCGTGTTGACAGAACGAGTGCTGTTCGATGTGTCCCGAGGACGCTTGCCAAAACACTTTTGGCAGCACTCACCAATGAGATGGCCTCAGTTAGTAAGCTGTTTGGATCCGAACGACACTGTTGACAGATCCATACGCAGCCGTTCTTACTGAACCAAATTGAAAGCCGCAGGCGTTAAATTCGTGCAAACTTCGTGGTACCAGTTTTGGCACTCATCACACTGCATGCCGCTTCCAACGGGATATCGACGGCTCAGACGTTGGCAATTACCTTCTCTGCACTGTGCAGTCATCTGACAGGTCTTTTTTTAAAAGAAGAACTAGATGCCATATAACTCAGAAACAAAAATGATCTATGACCAAAAAAGTGAAAAACTGTAGATTGTTAGGACCAAAAGTACTAACAAATAGAACGGACAACAAAGTACTCAAAAGTACCGACGAAAAACTAATTTAGAAACAGTAACGATACACTAGTTGAATACTTTAACTGAAATAAATTCAATTAAAGTGGAAACAGTGGTCTTGATACGTAATAAACGACCAAAACAATAGGATTTACTCAGCAAGGAAAAATACCACTGTCCTTTTAATTAGCGCGCCTAATAATTGTTATTCTTATTCACAAAAATCTTGTGGGTACATAAGTATTGTGAAGAAACCATTTTGGGTTTCTTCAAAAAAATGAAATAATACACAATTTTCCATAATGTTAGCTGTAGTGTCAGTTATTATGCCAAGCCCACATACCTTATTCTAGCTTCCGGACATCCCATTTTATTCATTCTACTCGAGCCATACTTTGACCTTCTTATTTATTCGCTTATCAATCTAGACTGTTTTTATATGAGCGTATATGTGTGTGCCCTTCTTA